CAACACTCTAAAAATCGCCGTTATGTCTACGATACCGGACTAGGATGTGAAGTTTTGCGATCTGCAGCGCTGCCCTGGCTGCCAGTGTAAATCACAGCACGGACTGCAATGGGAGGAAGGAAAGAGTGGCAGCCTATGATCAACAGACGAAAGCCTGCAACCACCACCTTCTGAAAATGAATCAGTTCTAGGACAGCGTGAATTTAACTGGAGCTAAAGTACTTGATTGCCAAGATGCACGCTGTGGCATTACGCCATTAATAAAATCTGCAGGAGGCATTCACAGAGCAGCACCTTCAATGACTAAAAAGCCTGGAAGAGTTTAATACGTTTAATTCTTTATTAAGATCTATATTTTTGCTCAGGCGCAGGAAATTGAATTCGTCATGTTTTTAAGGGACTTTAAATTGAGCTCTCCTCGCCTCCTGCTCTCATCAGGCAGCAACACAAAAACAGAAGAGAGCCAAAACTCTCTGCAAACAAGGTTAATCAACGTTACACAAGAGCCACCCCCAACAAGCAAAATTTGCCTAATGATGTCTTCTCATTTGTAACTGTTCTTTTAAAGTGAGAACAGCCCTCAAACCTTGTTTACAGACATCTTAAATAAAACACTGTGGTAAGTTATATCAACAGGAGCCACAGCCAGTAGATGTTAGAGCACATTAACACAAAGCACATGATCATATGATGCTACAACAGCAGCTTTAAATTGGTCATGATTTTTTTCAAATCATTCTTCATCATTTAGTTTTAGGATTTGACTGTGCATTAAGTTAAGTTCAAGGATATTAGTTTAAATGGAAAGAACTGAAGAGATCTATTTTTTCAAGCATTCATTCTGTATCATCTATCAGTGGGCTACACAGCTTTGGGGGGGAATATCATAAGCTGATTTCAAGGTATTTCACGCACTCCCTCTGTCATCACTAGAACCTTTTTTTATTTTAGTGTATGCTATTACAAAATTACATTGGATTCCCCATAATAAAGATACAGAAAATGAGAAAATAAATCCATTAATTCCTAACTAGTTTATATATTTAGCATTATCTAATGTGCCCAGCTCGAAATAAATACATTTTGTATTGTAACATTTATCACTAGAACCTTTAGTAAGTGGCTGACCTTCACACCCAGTACCCAAAATGATGGGTGTCTGCAGAAAATGCTTTAACCCTCTTAGTTCTGTCATCAATGATTATCTGACATTTCTCGCTGGCTACTATTAATGCCTTTCAGTCAGCTCCACCGATATTAAAACCTGCAGAGGAGCAAACAACAACATGCCCGCCACTACGCAGAGAAAAGGGCTCCAATGTGAAGGAGTGGCAAGTCATCAATAAAAGTAATTAACCCCAGAGGAGCAAGAGCGCCAGCAGCCAGCAGCCATATCACCCTGCAACTCACAATTGGCA